GCTCCCTCGCGCTGAAAGAGAAAAACTAAAACATATGCATTTAATTACGGTTGGCCATTAGCGATTGGAACATACTAAAAAACGACATCATAACTGACACATAAATTTGCCTCTTCTGTAACCACTTCAATTTCTTATATATCCGACTGCCGTAATATCCCTAGACATGCCCCACCCTCGAAAGATAGCCCATTTATATCTTTGGCAGGGTTTTCTATATTTCAAAAACACCGAAAGATAGCCCACTTCTAGGAATTGCAGGGCCCTGGACAATGGTGACCTCGGCACAAATGGTATTATTCAGCCGAGAGGAGAGACAAGCGAACATTGCTGACGGGGAAGGACAGTCGCCTTTGGTTCATCGCCCCTACCTGCGACCACAAGTTTCGCAGGTTACAGAATCTAAATCTAGCATTTTTTTCTTTTCTTTTTAGAGCGGGGTTTTTTAGGCGCCCGTTTCCAGGTTCCTCGGCTTCGGCGTCGCCGTACGCGTCTGCGTAACCTCGCTATATTTAGCGGGAAAATTGACATCATGTGACCTCAGCACCAATTCAATTTCCGCTAAATTTAGCGGGGAAGTGAATTGGTGTTGAGGTCACGTGACGTCAATGTTTCCGCTAAACTTAGCGGGGAAACTGTGGGAGGAGCGGAGGGTATGGAGGAGGAGGAGGGAGAGGAAAAGGTACGGAGGGGGGGATGGGAAGGTACGGAGGAGGAGAAGGAAAGGAGGAAGAGGAAAGGAGGAGGAAAGGAAGACGAGGAGCAGAGGAGGAAGACGGGAGGAAGAGGAGAGGAGGAGACCTCGAAAGTTGCGCTCTAATTTCGCGTTACAAAAATTTGTAAATGTCTTTCTTTTTTTCTTCTTTTTTTTTCTTGGATCGCACAACGAAAGTTAGTTTACTCTATATTTTTACCCAATTTGCCTTAGCTTTGAGGTGGGCTATCTCTCGGGATATTACGATAGTTCCTTTTTCTACTATGTTAAAATTACGCACAAAAGTGTTCGGTAAGAAAAAAAAAAGTTGCCACTTTCTTCTGTAATGCCCGTAAGGGCCTTAAGGATAATAAAATATTATGATGATGATGATGTTCCGCCATCTAGCCCATTATGAGATTTGGGTACAGGCAGCCTTGTACGCGTTACTGCAAAAAAGCAATCGATTACAGTTAAAATTACTTTATCAAAAAATGTAACTGATTGCAGTGATCAATTACTGTATCACAAAAGTAATTGAAATATTACCAAAAAGTAAATGATTACGTTTCACATTACTTTTTTTTTCACTTTTTCTTACGCCATCCAAAATGCACACATACGTTCAAAGCAGTTACATTTTGTTTCGTTAGTCATCTTCCACGTTTCCTGGTGAAGGTACCTGCCGCGACGATGAAGACCCTCTTGAAGAATATGCTCAGTGTTGGGTAAAGTACACCTAAAAAGTACTTCAAGTGAAGTACAAATAAATGAGAAGATGTACTTCAAGTACAGTAGTAAGTACGCCGGCCGCAATGCACTTGAAGTAAAGTACAGGAAATACAATGCACTTTGAAAGTAAAGTACAAGTACCTTTATATATATAAAAGACCTAAACAAGTTCTTGAAAGAAAAAAAAGAACGAGTTAGAGGTGAATTCTAGAGTGTTTGTATCCCGTGAATCTGAATATCACACTAGTTTTTCCCGAAGATGTAATTAAACCCCAGAAAACACGAAAACCCTCCGACCAGTCGTTACATCATACGCAGATCTTTGGGCCGCCAAGCGGCAAGCTTGCCAGGTATATTCCCTCGCACTGATATCAGTCGTGACGTCTTTTTCTGACCTTTTTGAAAATAGAAAGAGTGCGCCTGCATAGCTTTGATAGGCGCTGGAAATGCGCGAGAGCGGAGATTCCCAAAACTCAGTTTGTGGCGTCACACTCCGGGCAAGAGGGGCTTTAACGGCGCTTTAAAATTTTTTTTTCTTTTTTTTCTGCAGCTTCCGTATGCCCAATTGAAAAAATAATCTCGATATTCCTGATCCTAAGGCGAAAACGATTGAAGTGTTTTTTTTTTGTTTTGTTTTTCTCTCAAACACAGAACCGCTTCAGTTTCCCTTGAACACAATCTTTCATGACGCCCTTTCATTCCCCAAACAGTTCTTTTTTTTTTTTTCTTTCTAAATTGGTATGCATTGCTTTAGGGCTAATATATCCTTTGCCGAAATTCAGCCTGGCCACATCGATAGCTATCATCACTAAGTGTGTATCATGATATCATATCTACATGCGAATGTCGGCCTTTTAGTGGCTGGTGAAGGAAGAATATGAAGACAGAAACCGATTCGGAGCAGTATCCTCAGGCGTTAGTTCGCCGTAGTGTTGTTCGATGCCACCGCGACGAGACTTATAAGCTTCTATGCGCTACGCATTTGAGGCTGTCATCTAAGTCCTTGGATTGCTCGGCTTCGGCACGCCCCCGACAGCTCATGGCAATGCATGGCCTCCACTATACTCACAAAGCCTGGCAGTTCGATAATGGAGCCATAAAGTACCCGGTCGAAGATTTGGAGCGCAAGGATCTGGTAGCACAGGGCATTTCTCGGGGAGTCTGTAGTCAGCGCACAGCTTTTGCCGCGGCGAGAACCCGAAACATGGTTTTCAAACCCGACGAGAAAAGAAGCGGTACCCCGAGGAACACAAAAAGCGAGAGCGGACATTTCCATCGCTCGGGACAAGTGTGTTTCAGCGTCTCGCCGCAGCGGGGCGCCCGTTACATGCCTCTTGTCTGCCGCTCTACCTTTTCACTTCCGACGGCTGTGTCTCGTGGCGATATGCCAGGCTTTGTCAGTATAGAGGAGGCTTAATTCTGAAATGAAATGCTAATTTTATCAAGAGGTTTACTCAACTATAAGCGCCTTGTGCAGAATGGTAGTTTCTAGACATCATCGAAACTGAAGCGAATAAAAAAATAACTGTTAATCGTAAAACACCGTAACTTGCGTACGTGTACCGCTGTTGAATAGAAACCAGATGTTATCCGTCATGAGCATACAAAAATTTGGACTGATATTTCAGCCAATATATGGCACTGAATTTGTGAAAGGGTCTATTGAGGGTGCGTGAGTTATTTTCGGAAATTTCGGTGAATATTGGATAAAAGTCAACTGGCCAAAGAGTAGTGGTTTTACTCTCGCTGAGGTGGATCGGTGTTATAAACAATTGCAAGTATGGTGCCGCGTCCGATGCCCCAGGTGTGCAAGCGCGTGCAGCGTGCGTGTGAGCGTAGCTTTGGCAAGCAGTTGCATTTGCACGGGCTTATCCGCACGAGCGGAGACATGGTGGCAAGGCTGGTTCACACATCCGCATTGGTTGCATTCGCATACAACCGAAACGACCGCAACGACAAAGTCACCCGGACAAGTGTTCGCCGTACACAACATGACAAGAGATGCAAAAGGTAGCTTCGCGAAGCGGTCCCTGAGTCACGGTTGTTGCTGTGTTTTGGTCGTTACGGTCGTTTCGGTTGCATGCGAACGCAACCGTTGCAAATGTGTGAACCAGCCTTTAAAGAAATAACTAGATGACGTCTCGAAATACGATAGCTCGTTTTTACATGACGATACGTCATTTTTTGTTAGATTGGATTCGACGTTACCGGGAAAGCCAAGGACACAAGCGCGTTGTCCTTGAAAGAGCTTAATATCACCGAGACCTAATTTGGGGAGTGTACTTTGAAGTCGGGAGTTGTACTCTCTTAAGTGCTGCTCAAGTACATACCGAAAGAATGTACTTCAAGTAAAGGGCCCTCCCGCAAAAGTTCTTCACACTTTCCACTTTACCAGAGCGAGCGCTAGAGAAAAGGGTTCGTTAAAAATGTCAGTTGTGTACTTTGCTCGTGCTCACAACCAGGCACGTGAATCCGAGGAAAGGTAAGCGGATCACCTATTGGCAAATAAATTTCCCGATCCCGCTCTAATAACGCCCATCAATCAGGCAGCAGAGGTTTTTTGAAGGCCTCTGGCGACGCTCCCGCGCCGTCGGGAGCCGTTGCTGCTAATAGGCATAGTAAACCGGTAATCCTCAGCGGGCGAACAGGAAGCATTTCGCGGGCTGCCCAACGAGCGGGCGAAGAGAACCCAAACACAAAAACGCGCACGCGAACTCACACACAGCGGACTGCTACAAGCCGTGGGACAAACGTAAAAAAAAAAAAAAAGAAAAAACGGTGCAGTGGCAAGTGGCAGAGCAATGGGAGAGGGCGTTGCATTCCTGGACCTGTCGCTTTGCCTGCTACCGCTTGGGGCAGTCGGCAAGGCGACCTTTCCAAGGTCAGTTTGTGCCGTTTGTGCAGCTCGCCGCGTACTTACCTGCTGCTGTTTCGCCGAGTAACCACCAGATGCCGCCACTGCGGCTTGGCTGGCGACTGAAGGGCCGAGTTGGTTTGCGCGCATGACTGCGTGTCTGCGTGCTTCTACGTTCACCTACCCGTATTTCTTCACAAGTTGTGACACCGCTACAAACGGCTCGTTTCACTTGAATTCAGGCGGGTAGAGTCTGCCTCAACAGTATAAAATATTAAAATAAATAGAGAAAAAAAAAATAGGAAGGAAGACAGCTGTACGGTAGTTAGCTTCCAGCATAGGTAGACAGCGCATGTTTCTAGTTTGGTTGAGGACATTTTATGTTGAAATTAGGTGAAATAAAAGTATAAGTCAAGCGTCCTTTTTTTATCGCGCTGAACTTTTTAATTACTGAAATCCTACTGTTACGTCTTAGTCCAGGATGACTTTCCGAGGTCACAATCTTTTCCTTGTTTGTTTGAAATAAATTAGTAGCAATCATACAGAGTTATGAAACAAATGCACGTCGAAGTACCTTAAATTACTCCCTCTACCACACCAACTGATCGCCAAACTAACGAAAAAGCAGCGAAAGCAGAACCGAAACCATCGCTGTCAGCAGCGCGCCTACACGGCTTCGATCACGCACCGCCAGGAACGCTGCGGTGGCGCGCGCGGTCGGCGAGTCACGTGCTCACCGCTCGCAGCTTGTATCGTCCGTTCCCGCTGCCGTGGCGACCGGCGGATTGAACGACTACGGCTGCGGCGCTCGAACGAAACGAACTCCGGGGATTGTTTTCGCGAAACGACCAACGAGCGGTGCTTCGCCGGTGCGTGCTGCCCGCCGTCTTGAGCCATCCCGTCGTCGCCTTACGTCGTGCTCTTGCTTCACGTCGGATTTGCATCGATCAGCGACGACGTGAAGGAAGCCGTTGTTCCTCAGCAGTTCCACGCCGTGTCGGCTCCGCAAACAGTCGGGCCCGTTGAGGCCGCCGCCGCCGCGCCAGGTGTGCGACTTCTCCATTGTGCGCATTCCGGCGTTCGAGTACGTCGGCTTCGTGGTTGCCGCGGTGTTCGCTACTCGGTGTGCTTGTGTGAGTGTCCGGAACCAGGATTAGGATCGCCGTGAACCCTGCGAGGCTATGGCCCCGGCGCTGCCGTCGGCTATTCCTCGCTGTGTTGGCGGTGGTTGTTGCTCCTGCCGTGGAAGAAGTTGCTGCTTCGGTCTGGACGGTGCTTTGTAGCGACCGAGCATGGCTGCTGCGTCCTCTGCGTCGACGGCAACACCGGCTGCGATGAGCGAAGCAGCCGTACCGCACAAGCCTGATCGGTGAGCAGCGAACGACGGAAAACTTCTCACTATCGCGCATTCCGCGTCGAAAAGTTGTCCTGTTGCGTTTAGATCGCTTTACTGTCGCGTTTAATGAATCTATAACTTGGCAAGTTACACAACTCTATCCAGTAGTTTCTTAATTTCAGGGTACAATGAACTTCGGAAACACTGAGCTCGTTTGCGGAGTACTTTAGAAACTTTTTTTTCCCCCGGTCGTATCAATGGTGTTTTGAGGTGCGCGTGCTGTCAAAAACAACCTGCCCTCACCTAAAAAAAGAAAATAAATAAATAAAAAGGCATGGTTGTTGTTGTCGTCCTCGAATGCGAACTGAACGTACCAGCACGGACCGACTCCTTATGCGCGTTTGTTGTTTTGGCCGGCGTCGTTCACTCACGTTGCTTTCGCTGTACCGATTTGGCATTGAGCCTCGTCAGCCGGCCCATACGACTGATTGTTCCGTTCGTCGTCGTCGATTCAAACTTCGTTCTTTTTTCAGCTCTTTGCCGCATGTTTTTGTAGAGTGGATCGGCTTAGCTGCAACAAACGCAGTGAATGACTAGCTGCTCCGAATATTGTAAAGAGGTTGGCACAGCGGCGCTATTTAATAAATCATCGACCACAAAGAAAGAAAGCAAGCGGCAGAGATTAGAGTTTAAGAAATATGTAACCAGTGTTTCGCGTAGTGGTACGTAATGTACTACGTGTTCTGTATGCTCGTTTTAGACGAGGCTCGTCAGCAACGGCGGTCAAAATAGACAAGCTTGTGTACTTTGAGGAAGGCGATCCCGACGGGTCGTTGCGTCGTTCCCGCTTCTTTCGTCCGCGGCTGTATTGGCTCTGAGATCGCACATCGATGGGAGCTTGGAACAGGACCGAAGTCAGCTTGGCGAAGGGGCTCTCCCCTGGCTGCTCGGCGTGATCGGCGTCGGCAAGCAACGCTCTGCCCTGGGGCCCCCTTGGCCGTTGGTGCCGGGGGGCCGTGCGCGGACGAGAGAGCCTGGCAGGGCATTCGCTCCTCCGAGAGTTTTTTCCTCGGTCGGCGAGTCGACCGGTTCCCCGAAGCGGTGGCCCGTGCCGCCGGCTCCGTGATGAGGAGCCAACGCCGGCCATCGTCCAGCTAGGTGCACTGCTTGTCCGTTTGCCGCAGCAGGCCTGCCTGCCTGCCTGCTCGTTTGCTTTTTTTTCCACCGCCGAGGCACCCGGGTTTCGTTGTTTTCTTGCGTGCGTTTGTGTGTTTTGGGTCTTCTTGGATACATTTCGAAAGGGCCCCAGCGCCGTCTTCCGTAGATGTGTTTTTTTTCTTCTTTTCGTTCGTTTTATTGTAGACGTGTATACACCTTGTGAGGGTTTATAAGTAAGGGTTAAGGATTTTCACTTATGTAACGATTACAATATGATATTTGGAAAGCGGTGACTACACAGTCTGTCTCATTGACATGCATTTGATTATGAAATGGAAGCAAAGTGGAGAAAGCGGATAATCTTGCTCGCCGCCCTCCCCTCTCCCGAATGGTTGGACGCCTCTGGAAATGTGCTGCGCCATCCTTTGGGCGTACTCGTGCCCAAAGGGATTCGACACGAGTACTGTGTCAGCGCTCGTCATGAACTCGTGTATCACGTGCTTCGCGCAGAACGCGGTGACCAAAATAGGGCTGCCGCCAGTGTTGCTCGATTCTGAAGGGTCAACTCGAGCTTACAGAAGTGAACAAAGAATGAAAAGAACAGGACATAACAGCTGATTAACAACTTTGCTTTAGTACACTTCTTTATAAACGTAGTCGCCTTCTTTAAGGACTGTTCACATATACACAAAATTACCATTTGTTACAATGAAAGCAAAGTTGTTAGTCATCTGTTTTGTCCTGTTCCATCCATTTTCGTTCCTTTCTGTAGGTTCAAACCCTACAATCACAGAAACAATTTTTTTTTTTTTAGATTAGGGACAACACAACACGTTTCAAAACTGAAATGCCTCAAAGTATTTTTTTTTTGTTTTCCACTATGATTGTTAACTAGTTTGCCTGCGTAGTAACCCTTATTTCAGTAAACCTTCACCAATATGTACCGACTAGCTCAACTAAAGCCTGTAGCCAAGTTGCTGATGGACTTGGTGATTCTAGGGGACCATGAGACACGGTCACGGACTGGAACCTCGCTGTCGGCCCTGCCGACGGGCGCGTCCCGTTGAACTAATGATCTCTCGACATTTGAAACGTGGCGGGTATCTCTGGCAAATGTCGACGCCCTTCATCGTGAGAGAACACGAGCGAATCGTATTTTCGTGGCGCGGTTCATCTCCTCGCGATTCGGGCTATCCATGTCCCTCTGCGCTAGCCATCTTCGCTGGCAGCACTTTCTGCGTTGTGGTGCCCCTTTGAAGCGCCAAGAGACCGCTCTGGGCGTGACGATGTATCTAGCGTCGGTGGGTTGATTCGCTTCTGATGGTCCCCTGTTCATTCTCGATCACTGCGGTTCTGCAAGGGCTTCTCCTACTCGAGCGGTTTCCCTTCCACACTCTCCGTCCATCTGGTGATATTATGCATTGGGCTTCCTTGATGTTCTGCGAAATCGCGATTGTAATAGGTCTAGCGGAAAGAGCCGCCCCGACCCGAGGTTGCTGCGGTTAAGGGACCATGTCCTTCATTTTATTGTTTCTCCAGCCGTGAGGTTGGAAAAAAAATATATAACCATTTTTGCTGCAGCATTCGGTACCATGCAAGTCACCGCGGAAGGGAAGCGACGTAACGGTTGATCGTCATGGGAAAGTGTCGTCGTCTTGCGAAGTAAGCCGCCGGAGCGCAGTCGAAACGTAGTTTATTTTTATAAGGAAGCTAAACTCCTACAAAAGTCTTTTCTTTTTAGTGCAACATTTACGGTGCGGGACATAATTTAAATTAGGATTTAATCTGATATTTGGAGCACGCCGATCCGGTACAAGCGTGTTCAAATAGCCCCCCCCCCCCCCCCCCCCCCCCCCGGCCTCACGCACACAACGGCTACACTTTTCTTTTTTTTAGTGCCTGTGGATGGAACGCCCATTTTACAAAATTAATTCGGAATAGCGTGCAAAAAATTGTAGCCCTCTTTTTGCTTGGAGTACGCCAACTTTATAGCAACGGTGAGGTCAGTCATCGAGATATTCGGCTATGGGAATGTCGATTAGACATGGAGCCGTGTTAGGCTCAAACTGCCGCTTTGCCAAACAGAATCCTACACCCGAGAGTAAATTTATTATGTTTTTAGAAGAGAGTGACCCTTATACACGAATTTTTACAGTGCCAGCGAAGAGCAGACGATGAGACTGCATTTCCTTGGCGGGTGCCTCTCCCTGCAAAAAGTCCGAAAATTGGCCGCCCGGTGGCGCAATCCTCCACTCAAATTCAACGTGTTTAACCGCGCTCATCCATCCAACCGTGAGCCATTTTCTATGGAGAAAAGGTCCCATTATATTTGTCAAGCTCTTCGTATTCTAAGACGTTCGCAAAAAAAGCCTGTTTCGTCCGCGCGCATCTCAGTTGCGGGGGACAGAGCGTTCCCAGGCATTTCTCTCGGAGAGCGGTCTTTCTCCAAGTTTGGGTCCGGACGGCATCCTCGGCGGGGTCCGATTGTGGGGGCGTCCCACGGCGCCCGGCTAGGAAGGAGCCACTCCCGGAAGTCGAAGCCGATGCTGCCGCCGTGAGATCTCCTCCGACTGCCGTCGGGCAGAGAGGAAAAACGACCCCGACAATAAACCGCGAAGAAGAACAAGAAGACCGAGGAGCTTTTGTTTCCAGCCGGAGAGAGAATAGGAAGACATCGGCCTCTGAGCGGGACGCCTACTTCTTCTCTTCTTGGGGGCGTTATTTTTGTTTTCTTACTTGTTCTTGCCGAGGAAGATGCGTTCGGAATGCGTCGTTCCGCTCCAACAAGTCGTCCCGATCCGCCGCGAGTCTCGACGGCCGGAAAGAAATACCGGCGACTGGAGGAAGCGAACGGCGGCCCTAGACACCGCTTCGAGAAACGAGCCAGCCTGGTGGTCCCACGTTCTCTTGTCGACGGCTGTGGCGCTGAGCACGGGACGTGGCCGGGAACGATAGCGAGGATCAACAAGCTTTGCTGTACTCCGTTTCACACTAGGGAGTTTTAGTAGATCGTTTCAATACCTCCGAAAAACGATATGCCGTAGCGATACGATGCATGGGTAAAGGCACCGGGGGAAGTATCGTATTGTTAAAAACGACAATTTGGACCAGTTGGTTCGTGACCACCTAAAAAGTAGAAAAAAAAACGCAAAAAGAAAAATAAATAAACAGACAAGGATTAGGAAGTGGACGATACAGGTCATCGTATCGTTATCGGAACGGTATTCTAAAACGTTTAAGTATGAGCGCAGTCGACACTATACGGTCCTACGGAGCAAATCAAGCAGATCCAAAAGTGCATCGTCATGGCACTGGCTTCTTTGAGCGTTTATCACCGGCCAAAGCAACGAGGTGAGGGGCTTAGAGCGATAAACCGGCATGCCGTTGTCCGGGCAAAAGTTATCCCCACCTGGCTGCCGCCATGTTGTAGAATTTTGATCTCTATACACCTGACCGTACCAAATTCTGAGGCTTTTACGCAAAACTGAGCCGAGATTTCTATTGCGATCGCTGTAAAAAACACGATAAACTATTTAAGTAAAACATAAAATAGCGCAAAAAAGGCAAGGACAAGGAGTATACAGGACAGGCGCTATTTTATATGTTTTATATGTCGTGTATACTTCTTGTCCTTGCCTTTTTTTGCGCTATTTTATGTTTTACTAAGATGAACCAACTAGCCCAACAACGTACCCTACAAAACTATTTTTTTTTCAATACTCTTAAGGCCCTGTCACACTGAGGCTACACGACGCCAACAGCAACACAACACGTTGTCCAACAGTCGGGCAACTTGTTGCTCGCTCCTGGCAGCTGAAAGTGTAGTCCGACAACACTTTCAGCTGCCAGTTTATCGCTCGAAGGCCCTCGTTGCC